TTATATATATATATATTATAAATGTAGAATAATTTTAGAAAATAGTACTTAGATGATTCAAAGGTTAACTGGAACCCCAGTGAGTCATGCCTCTGCCAAATCCTACCCTGTGGTAAAGTGAAGTATTACAGAAGCTCCAGTGTTCTAGAATGTTTTAACATATTACAGTTTTTCTACCCTTAGGAACTTTTGATTTTTTTTAACACATATATGTATTCTAGATGGTGAATTTTTTTCATATTAAAAGTTAAAGTTGTTCTAAAAAAACAAAAATTTAAGTCTTTAAGTCGGTTTTAATGATTTGGATCCTATCGAATCCAGCCTTGGTGTTCCGCTCGGTGACCGCAGCCAGGGCCCGCACACAGTCTTTGGAATGGACCAGGCCTCTCGTTCCGTACGGCTCCCTCATCTTGCCTGTAGGCTGTGGCATAAGTCACTCAAAACAAGCTTGGTGAGGTTGGCACCAGGGAAGGAAAGGAAAAGAGAGCTGTGAATACGTGAAGATTGCACTCCAGAAGTGCTATGCTAATTCAAGAATTATACAGTGTAAATTTATAAATCTGTCGAGACTAACCTTCTCTGGACTCAATTTTGTTTCCGTGCAGTGGTACCCCTTCTGCTGCTGATGTGCCATTGTGGGAAGGGCGCCAAAGGCTTCACCCCCATCCCCGGTACCATAGAGATGCTGCATCCGTGGAACAACGAAGGGGCACCCCCTGAAGACAAGGTCAGATAACCCGCTGTCTATGCAAGGTGTCTTCTTTTCTGATTGAGAAGTCTTTCTGACGTCTTAGGCCATTAGAGTAAGATGGTTACTACAGATTTCGGTCACATGCCTTCGTGAAATACAGAGTTGCAATAATAATAATATATTTTGTTTGTTGGCAGGACAGAGCTGAGGTGGGTCTGCTCTACTGTGACAGGTGCTGTGTTACGGGCAGCGTAACAGAAAGGTCAGGTGGTGACGCTGACACCGGGAGTGTAGAACAGAGGTTAAAGGGAACAAGAATGTGTAGGGATTTAGGTGGAAACTTTTGTCCTGATATTAAATGGACGGTGCTTCTCCATTTCCATTCCGCTCGACCCACAGGGTCGGCAGGGGGGGCCCCACCACCCCCATGGCAGTTGTAAAATGTTGCAGAGTCCCTGCCCCTACCTCCTGAATAGCCACCTCCCACCATCTCTCTGCTGCATCTTCCCCCGGGGTCTCTCGTCACCATCTGCCGTAAGCAGCCTGTCTATTAGGATATGAGTCAATATCAAGTGTCAGAGAACTCAGAATAACAGTGGCTTAAATATAAAAACATGGGCCGTCCCAGCCCAGTGTGTGATCCCTGCACAGCCTGGCCCCAGGCATCCCCCTTCTCAATGTTCCTCCGTGGATGAGTTCCACTCCTTGCTGTGCTCCCGCTCCAGGCACGAGCTACCATCCCCACATTCCAGCCCGACCATCGGGGGAAAAAAGTGACCAACCGCTTTTCAAGAGCACTTCCCAGAAGCTGCATACACCATTTCCACTTAAATCATGGCTAACTTAAATCACGTTAACCAGAACTTAGGCAGCTACACCTGTAGCAATGGAGGCTTGGAAAGGTAGTCTTTATTTGGGGTGGCCATGTGTCCAGCTGGAAAAATAAAATAAGGGTTCTATAACCATAGAAGAAGGCATTGAACTCCAGGGGAAAGTTGAAATGCCGTTGGTGCCATAGAGTAAATGGGCTGAGACCATATTTTAAAGTCTTTTGTTTTCTCCTTGGGCTAAAATCCGCTAGCGAACCAAAATGGTACCGTGGAGATCTTCAGAAGACTCAAACCCAAGTCATGCAAACAAAAACAGTTTTCCTAATCTGCCTCCGTGGAAATAACGTATTCACAGCCTAGGCTCCCTGAGCTGGGACCCTTCCACCAGCCGTGCGGACCTCCACCAGCCCAACTGTGTTTGCTCCGACAGGTGGTGCCTCCGCTTCTGACAGCAGATCTCAGAGACGCGGCCGCAGCTGGCGCTGGAGCAGGATGTGTGACAGCCAGGGAAGCCACCATGAAAGGAAGTAGCTTGGCCTCCTTTACCAAAGGGCAGCAGGAGATGTCCGAGGTGGACGGCCGGTGGGAGGAGCACAGAAGCCTTCTCTCCCGTGGGGCTACCCAGGTTACAGGGGCAACGGGCGCGCTGCTGAGCACTGGCTCCATAAGGACCACGAGAGCCATGGGGGCTTCCAGAGAGATGGCCGGAGCCCAAGCAGCTGCCTTGGCAGTGAACGAGGAATTCTTAAGAAGTTATTTCACTGAGGTAAGCGTTGGTTTTTATGTGTGGAGGGCAAAAGCATGTATATGTAAACGTGATGATTATTAGGGTAATCATTTCGTTGGAAGTAAATGGGACTTTTTCTTTTTTTTAATTGAAGTGTAGTCGATTTACAATGTTAGTTTCAAGTGTACTGCAAAGCAGTTCAGTAATTCATATATATACATATATTTTTTTTTTCAATTTCTTTTTCATTACGGCTCATTGTAAGATATTGAATATAGTTCCCTGTGCTATACAGTAGGTCCTTGTTGTTTATCTATTTTTTTTTCAAGAATACAGACCAGTCGTGTTGTGGGATATCCTTCAATTCGTGTTTCTCTGAAGTTTTCTTGCAATTAGACTGAGATGTCAGGCGTTTGGGGCAGGAATCCGGAGTCTTGTTCTTAAATGAAGTGTGTCACTCATGTCAACGTCCCTGTTCTTGTTCCGTTTTAGAAAGCTGCCTCTTACACGGGGGAAGATGACATTCAGACGGCCAAAGACTGCCTTCTGGTTTATTCTCAGGAAGAAACTGAATCTCTCCAGGGTTCCATTGGCTGTTGCAGTTTTATTGAAGGAGAGCTAGATGACCGCTTCTTAGATGATCTAGGACTTAAATTCAAGACACTCGCTGAAGTTTGCTTGGGTCAGAAAATAGAGATGGAACCGGAAATTGAGCTGAGGCCAAAACCCAGGAGAGAAACAAACGCGAAGGCAGCTTCAAGTGCATTCTATGAGCAAACTAGGGTCCACTCAGAGAAGGCACTTTCCTCCAGTGGCAGCTTTCAGGTTCCCACACCTCTGCATGAGGCAAGCACAGAGAAAGTAACTCAGGAAGTGGTCACTGAAAAGTCTGTGTCTTCTAGGCAGGGTCCAAAGGTAGCTACACCACCTGAGGCACTGGCTTCAGGTAGCATGATAGTGACAGAAACGTCCTATGCCACGGGCTCCACGGTGCCACCAAGCACGGTGGTCCTGGGCCCCGGGCAGTCCCAGGGCCTGATTGTGACGGAGCGGGTCTACGCCCCGGCTTCTGCCCTGGTAGAGCAGCAGTACGCTAGTGAAGGTAACGTCCTGGTTACCGAGACAGTCCTCCAGCCTCACGGCGGGGTGTCCGGGCCTCTGGAAGGCACTCAGCATCTGCCAGACGCCCACTATGTCATGGTGAGGGAGAGGGAGCGCGTCCTCGCCCCCAGCCCGAGCGTGCAGCCCGCTCTGGCCGTGCCCAGTGCAGCCGCAGGACCGAGCGTGCCAGTGACCGAAAGAGTGCTGACGCCTGCCTCCGCTCTGCAGTCTAGTTACCATATTCCTGCTGAAACCTCTGTAACGGCCACAAAGACTCTGGTTTCTGGAGCTGGAGTCCCAGGCCCTCTCCCAGACTTGGGCTTGGAGGAGTCTGGTCATTCTAACCGTGCCATCACCACATCTTCCACCCACATCTCCAGGCAGAGCACGGTCCAGCTCTCTTACTCCTAGACGGCGCTCAGCACACGCCGGCCCAGAGTGGAGCCAGCCGGGGCTGAGGGCCTGCTTTCAGGGGACCTGGCTTTTCATGAGCCTTACACACATGAGAGGCATATACACCTGGGGCTTAAATTTTTCCTCCATCACAAATATGCAGAGAACCTCACTGACTCAGCTTCCAGGCGTGCACTTCAGAAGAGCTCCCGGACTTCCTGAGGGCGTAATGATCATGCTGTCTTGGGTGCCTTTTAGTGACTCATGGCCAAACAGTACTCACAAAGCAAGTTAAACAGAGTAAATCTGGCTTCTAAGAATGTATCAGATGAACAGTGTCCAGTTCATGAGCCGTCCAATAGAGCCACCCACCAAACTGAGCGGGCCCCTCTGCACAGCGTTGAACGTTGCTGCTCCATATTCCATGCTTTCCTGCACCCAGCAGATTATCAGCAACTTATTTATCCAAAGATACATGCACGGTCTGAGTAACCAGTTTTGCTTGTTTGGTTTCCTTAAGACTAGAGGCCCTCCAATTCCTGTAAGATTAATTGAACTTTGGAGCACCGGCTTGGTGAGAGCACACACTGCATGTTCCTGTGGGTGCGTGTGTGTCGTATAGCCTTAAAAACAGCATTACACCTTCCCTTTGTCTCTCAGTAATCATGAAAATATTAAATACTTCAAATTCAGTAAGCTAATCCAGGGCAACATTCATAAACATAAGATCTCTTTATTTTTTATAGTAATAAAATACACTATTTAAAAAAAACTCAGGATACATTATCTTCTAAATTAGTATAGCTGAATTAACTCTATCCACTGTGGTAAGAACCATGCCTGTTTCATTGCCATATATCCCCCGTGCCTATTGTAGAATTAAACTGAATTTTAGAAGCCACTCTTACCTATAATTGCAAAAAATATCAAAAGACCCTTTAACTTCTGTAATTACGAGTTTGAAATGACGATTTATTCCATGTCTCAGAGTCACTGGCTAGCTAGTCACGGCTTCCTACACGAGTGTTAAATATTAGATAGCTGACCTGAACTTGTACCTCCTGCCCTTTTTTAAGAAGTGATTTGGGTGTTTTGGCCAAATAAATAGATTGTATTTTTATTGCTCCTTGAAGAAGTCATCCATCTCAAGTTTCAAAGTGTAAGTGCATACCAGTAATAATTTATTTTAATATTCTTTACAATAAAAAATGTCCATAAATTTTTTTAAAAGGCTGTAGTTTTGTGAATTTTCAGGATATTTTACTAGGAAAATGAATCTCTAAAAATTTATTTTGTACCACATTTTTTAAAAATATTGTTGACTTTTGTATTATGCAAAAGATTTTACATATTTTTACTCCCACTTTTGTATATAAGTAAAAGGCAGATATTTTTAGACACCACAAGCCTGTGGCCAAAAGGAAGGTCACTGTTCCGTGCTCTAAATTGTTTACTCTCTACTTAGTCTTTGTTGTTGCTTTTTTTTTTTCACTATAGACTTAGTAGTTAATTTTTGCCAAGTCTGCATCAGGAATATCACTACTGTGTGAAAATGGGGCTATGACCTACGTGCTCCAAACCAACAAAACTTGGTCTTCAACTTCCTCCTTGGGTGGGTGTGAAAAATCCTCACTTGTCTCCTGTATGTAAAGTAATCACATTTTCTAAATGGTTTTCTTTGTACGTGAAAGCATGGTTTGTATTAGTTACATTTGTTCCATGGGAGAAGCATTATATTTGTACGTGTTATCCTCAAAATATTTAAATAAAAAGGTGACCTTTTGAGCAACCCTTTGCCCATATCTTTATTGCCCTGTCGTATTTTACTAGGAATGTAAGTAGTCGTTAGGGAGGAGACAGCACCCTGAAGGCAGGTGTTTGTCAGACTTTGGTGTCGGTTTCCATTAGGACTGCTTATATCTGCCTCAGCCAGCCTCCTCCTAAGAGGGGCAGACCACAAGCAGGCTCAGTTAA